CGATTTCAGAGAAGATGTTTTTATTGCGCGGTTTGTGTTTTCCCACAGCGATGGGAACTTGTTACGACCTTCAATATCGTGTCTGAGGAGGGCCCAGATTGACGGGAAGAGTCCATATAAATACACGTTTTTCCATTAGATGTCCCCTCTGTCGCATTAATATCAGGCGGGTGGATAGGACGATGGCCGGGTATCGGTTTTCAAACATTAATTAATGATGGGAAGAAAGGGTGTAAATAACATCTGTAGCGAGATAGCACAGGCCTATACCAACCCAGGATGGAATCGGACAGGACTGGATACCGTTTTACTGCATTTTTCCTCGCTTGAAAGACATCGTTCATTAACTTAGTAACTTAGTTCACTCAACAGAGCAAATAACGTTTTTTTTTCCCCCATACAACAGACAAGTTATTTTTGATTAAGGAGAGCAGAGCTTGAGTGACTTTGTCCTTGATCGAACGATTAACACAGGTTTCAGTTAATTGGACACGCACATTAATGTCCATACTATATAATACATTGTCTAACTCGTTATTCAATAAAGTGCCTGTCATTGGCATCAGCCTGGACAGACTAGAGAGTTTTGTTAACAAATCGAAGCCAATTAAGGCATGCTTGCTCTTTAACTGTATGTATTATTATTATTACAATCAAAGTTTTAATTAAGAAAAAGCCCTGCTCGGTAGTACAGTATTACAGCTAATTTGCTTCTCAGCTTTGGATATTAATTGTGTCTGTTTGTGGGGCCCCGGCAGGCCTCGCGCCTCTGATTAAAATGTGCACTAATGTGCAACATCTCTTTACAATCTGCCACCAGACAGATATGCAATGCAATTTATTAATTACCCGGCTCAAAAATAAATAAACAAATAAACACCTTAAGCCAAACATTAATTTATAAATACAACTGCATTACGATCATCCAGTGAGCTCCTACTTTCAGCTATTTGGTTTGAAATATTGCATTTAACATTTACTAGTAGTTGACTTGTACTGTAGATTTACGGACTAACGGACTACATACGACACTGATGCATTTCCGAAATGAAATTAGCGACGAAAAAACGAAGAAGTCCCTTTTCACCCCATGTGTAATGTGACCTCCACAAAACACGGGCAAACGCGACAAAGGTTATTGACAGACATTTCGTTACAACCCAGAGCCGAGACGCCGTTCTGTCTGTACAACCTGACCTGTCGAGGACTCGGCCCAGCAGAGAACATGGTGTAGGCGTGTGCATTTTAATATCGGCCTGAAACAGATTCAGATTGGCCGAGGAGAGGATGATGATGGAAACTCCGGCGTTGGGCTGTTGTGTACCCCTTGTTTGCGTTCACCCAGGTTCTGCCGCAATTAGGGGGCCTGCCCCGGAGCTTAGCCACCTACTGGCCAATCTCCAAACTACATCGAAAGTTCTCGGACCCTTCCCGACTGTGGTTGAATGAATATACAACCGCGCGAGCCTGCGCCTGCGAATATGCGTGGAAGGTTAATCAGCGGTATTCCACTGGAGGACTTTCAAACACTCCACTTGTAGCTGCTACAACCAGGTGTTTCCAGAGAGCTCACGAGAGCACATTTGTACTTTCTCTAACCAGCTGGCGACTGGCAGCTAAGAGGAGAGAGGCGCGACACGGGCATCTGGGAGCCCCCATTCCGCTAGTGGGCTACACTGAGACCCACGCACCTCCGAGAGGTTTCCCCGGTAGTTGTTTTTTAGCTTTTGAAGGTGAACTCGGTTGCTCTCGGTACCCCCGGTCGGTGTCTGACCTGTCAGCTGCACACAAGTGTGCCGGCCGAGCGACAGAGACTCGCTGCGCTTGGTTCCGGCGCCAGAGTTTGCTTTTTGGGTGGTGTCGGGGGACTGGTTGTCCGTGTCGTCCCAGTAGGAATGTTGGGGATCCCACATTGTAGCGGAAAAATTTTTTCCAAGCTGAAAATGTAACCCCCAGTTCCTATACGACACGGCCCTGTACGACAACAGAACACACTGACTGCGCTCCTAAACCAAGAGGCCCATTGGAACAGTTTCCGCTCACGAATGGTCACACCTACATTTTCACCCTGACTTGTAAGGTTCATGCAGACATACCTTGACCAGAATAACCCAGGACGGGCAACTGAAGAGAAATTGAAAATGGGCTGTATACGGTATTTTGTATCTGCTCAAATTAAGCACAGAAACCACAGGCCGATTCTCTTAGTATCTAGACTGAATACAGTAGTTAGAACCGGCGTAAGACCGAATCTGCTCCTTTTAGATGGAAACTGATAAGGAACTTAAACGTTTATACAAGATCAAGGTATGGGCGCTGGAGTGCCGAGGAATGAAATCAATTAATTCATCACATAATCGTCAATTAAAAAATTAATAAAGAGTAAATAAAAAAGGATACAATCCAGTGGCAGATTTAATTCAGAGTTGCGTTTACGCGTGAACGCAAACGGGTACTGTGCGATTTAATAAACAGAACAATTCCTTTCTAAGCCATAGTTACTTCTGGGGTTAGTCCTGTACCCGAACTGCTCTTCCGACTTTCACGCACTGGGATGTCCGCAGTGTTAACTGTAATGACCCGCGCAGGGCCGCCGGACAGGCGCAGAGCCCCGGCCCTCGCACGCGCTCCTGGCTGCCGGCAGATGGGCCCGGAAGCTCGAGACTCGGAGAGCGAGCGCAGCCGCGCAGAGTGACGGGGAGGCGCCCATGACCTGTGTCCCCCTCTTAATTATTTATATATTATTTTGCTACACCACACGACATTTTAATAGCTACAGAGGTTAAAGAAAGAAATTAATCTTTCGTGTGTGTGCCTTTTTTTTTTGCTTCGTTCGCGGTCATCTTTAGAAGGCAAGGTTAATGGTTATTTTATAGTTTTCTATAAACTGTAGTTCATTACGTCCAGAAACCACAATGAACAAATAGACATTTATTATTATTAATTATCAAAAGAAAAAAAACGCGGTGAAACATTGTATTCATTTCAACGCACTTTACTTAAACCGACGGCGTCCTTCATCAGATTACTGCTAGCCTGCCATTTCTTAATTACCTGTGCGCCCGCTTAACAATGATTCATTTCAGCGTTTCCGTGACAGAAGGGTGTTTATGAAGAAATTTGCGCGGTTTGCAAACCTGGTGAGAGGACGAACTAAACGTCTTGATCTGCTACAATTAAGGGCAACTCTAAACGGACAGGGGTAGTTAGATCGTAGGAATACACGTTACGTAGACGTGTGTTTTAAATACACTTTAAGCACAGAGGTGTTCTGGATTGGCTGCAGGCTTTAGCATTTGGGCCCTACCGCCAGAATTCTATAAAATGTTTATATATATATACTCTATATATCTAGCGTAGTTTACTTTTGAAGCAGACCAGCGAATAATTTTTAGGTTAAAACTTACAGAGCCGTGTCATATAAAAACACAAGGCTCTGTCCTGGAGGCCTGGGCTCCGAGATTGCTACATAAATCACACGCGTCTAATTCAGCGCAAGTTTAATAAACGCTCCTATTGAAAATGAATGTTCTCCATTTAACAGTTGTATCAGCACCATATAAAACCATGACCCCAATAAATTTAATTTTAGAGGCAGATCAATCCGCTTCTTTTGCTATTGATCCTCGCCGGCTTGGTACACTTAGAACGCCGGGCGCAGCCTTTTCTTTCGGATGAAAATAGCATTTCGATTAGACCCTTTATTAGGAAAAGATTGCTCCGAGAGGATCAGTGTGGCCTGAAAATTAAATGGTGACATTTTAATTACTGGACATTGATAAAAGAATCCTGGTAATGGCTGTTTACAGGCCTGGTCCACTTTGTCTGACCTGATGGGCTAATCAAGTTGGACTGCTCGGCCGAGGTCAGAGCGGAATAGTCGACTCCGGTCTCCGCAGCTAAATAGGAACGAGAAAGCAGGCGCCTCGCTGAATGGAGAGGCAATCTCCGAACCATCCCGGGTCAATACTCCGAGCGCACCGCCGGTGTGCCTTGTAGATAAATTGAGCGTCCCAAATATCCGTCTGCAGCGCCTCACACCAAGAGTTACAGAGCGCATTCAGATACGGAGAGCCGCCTCTCTCCGGTCCAGGCCACGTCGTGTTCTGCAAACGCACTGTGCGTTTTCTCAGAGTTTATTCTTTTTTAAAATGCGAAATGGAAGGCGTGTAACCCCACGGGAGAAACGTTCCCTTGATAGATTTTTTTTTCTTTGGCGGTACTCGTAAAAATAAAAATATCTTTTTTTTTTTAAATGATGAATTTGTTAAGAGTTTTTGCAGGCTTGGAAAACCCGTCGGTAACACCGACTAAAATGCCTCTTCCATTATTCTCACCGCTGTCCTGCAGTAGCAGGGGGGTTAAACCGAGCAGAGCAGAGACTTCCATCTGAAAGCGATGCCCGTTTCATCTCAGTGACAAGACTGGGAAGCCCAGAATGGGGAATGTTCTGGGCAGGGGGAACTGACAGCAAGGCGCACTATTGTTTCACTATTAAAGGCACCATCTTCCCTCCGAGGAAATATTCATCGGCGATCGTTGCTCGGGGTTTAATTCCTTGTGGTTACATGATCACAACGGTGGCTATACGGGACGTCAGGCTGCAGTGGAGACAAGCAGACTAAAGCAAGGGGTTAGGAAGACAGAGGCCGGGCTATCCAGCCGGCAGTATCTTCACGAGAGACTCTTAACACACAAGCATCCGCCGCGGTTTAGTAACGTGATGCGTTAATGGATCCGCTCTCCCTAGAGAGCACTCCTGCTCTCATGGAGCTAGTTTTTGACTAAATGTGGATGATTCTTTTCAGGGCACACATTTCTGAGGGCAAACATTCTCAATAAGCGCTGAAGTACTTGACATACTGTATGTGTTATTTATTTTTACAAGCAGTACAGTGCAATCTACCCCCCCGCCCAACCCTCAGCGTCCAAACCTAATTCCCCTTAGATGGGGCAGCAGCGTGTTGGTAAGTGGACTTGTGGAAATGAAAACCAGCAGATCAATAGACACGGGTTTATTGATTAGGGAAAACATCACAGACACTAAACAGGCCGAAGACAAATTAAAACATCACTGCTGCATATCTGTGAGAGGTATCTCAGTAATCAAAGCGCTCGGTGCGGGGGGAGGGGATGGGGGTTATGATAAAATCAGAAGGATTAATATGGCGAGTTTGAGACAGAATGCAAGACTCCTGTCCCCTGCGCTCGTCCGCACCTGTGGGGCCGTGAGCTAGGAGGGTCTCCTGCCACAGTAGCACTGTGAAAACCACCACATAACACAACCTGCCAGCAGCAGGCAGTGGCCAGGGAGTCAGGCTGCTGGGTCCACCCAACCAACAGCCACATCAGGCTTCTCCCCCGGCCCGCAGTCACACCCATCACACTGCAGTTAATGCCCCGGCCACCGGGGGGCAGAGCGGCGTCAGCCAACTCTGAAGAGCAGCTGCAGCCAGCACGGGCATCACTCGGCCCGCTACCATGCCCACGGCCCCGGCAATCTCCCGCCCTCAGGAATCAGCAGCGCTGCCCAGGCTTTGAGGATCCTCTTGGCCAAGGTCTGCTTTCTTTCGGCTGCCAGCAAGCTGCTCTCCCCTGGTGCAGGAGGAGAAATTCCCACAGCTTACCAGGCTCCCAGACGATCCTCCCATTCTCCTGCCAAGGCCGCCCAGCCCCCGCAATGACACACCAGAGGGCTTCGCATTTCGCCTTTTGAAAAGTCTCTTTACATTTAATATTGCACACTTTGTTTCTCCTCCAAACACGTTACAATGGCAATTACAGTAAAAGCGTTTATAGTCTCCACAGTCGTTTCCATTGACACCTCTAGACCAGACCAGTAAAGGGCACTTTAATTACAGGAAGGCCAGGTTTAGAACTCTCCACGAGGCCGGGCTTAGTGTCTCTGCAGTTCAAATACAGCTTTATAACAGCTCCACTACAGACAGGTCTGCTGCTAAATCAAACTGATCTGTCAGAAGGACACAGCGGCAGATGTTAAGGAAGCTGCTGTTTCCTCTCCTCACCAACGTGAGTGCTGTGACACCTCAGAGACAAGAGCAGGGCTGGGTGGAGTGGGTTATGTGCCCAGTTCTGCTACAATGATTCATATGAGGTTCTTTGTTTGTTCAGAGCCCTTCCACATTGAAAACATGGACTTTCAAGCACAGTGGAATTGCCCATCACTTGTGGCTCAGTTGTATAAGCCTTGGGTTTCTGTATGAGTCAGTTACACACAAGACCAGCTACTAGATATTGGTTTGTGGCGACTCTGTTTTGTGCTTGGTGCTGTGTTACACACACAGAACCCATTAGTTCTGAAATACAAACCTATTTCCTCCAGTACGTGTCTGTACTGTACACCCTCCCTAACTTTGCAAAGTTCTACCCAAAGCCAACTCTTATACAATATGACCTCCACCTGACAGCCTTCCTCCATAGCTTTTAAACCTGTTAGATGATCCAGTTTGCATGTTGAGATGCTCATGACAAGCCATATGTGTTCACAGCCATTTTGATTGGTACCATTAGACCAGACCAATAACAGGCACTTAAATTTCTGTCAGGAAGTGTTAAGGATTTCTAAAGCAATGAATGTAAAAGTGACTCCTCCCCCGACCAATAAACTCTTAAGAGGAACCCAAGTGTGTGTTTTACATACTACATTCTGTACAGTACAGTACAAACTCCATTCTGCTAAAAGAGTGTGCTAGTTTCGGAGTGACAAGGAACCGAATGCAGGAAGTAACCATAAAGTTTTGGCACGCATTTGTTGCTTCTAAATCCAAAACCTTGTGCATTATGAGTTCACACTCTAATACTAAAACAATCTGAAATGATAAAAACAGAAGAAACAGACTGAAACGCCTAAGGGTTTATACCGCACTGAGCCACACAACAGAGGTTTTGGGCTCTTACTCGGCCACACCTGGCCACCAGCTGGGATAAAATCCGTCCCAGCCGCACAGCAGTCTAGTGGGAAACGCAGAGACAAGACTGAGCCCCACACCCAGAAAGCATTTCATGCCATGTTTCAGTTTACTGGAATTAAAAAACAAAAGATTCAAACACTTTCAGCTACCTAAAAATATTAGCACCCTTTCTGTGTAACATTTACAACTTTTTCAAAATCGAAGGTGATGGAAATGCTCTGTAAGTGTCAGCTCAGAAGTAAATGTGTACAATACAATCAACGTATTAGAAAAATACAATTTTAACACTTGTATACCTATAGTACAGACAGGCTGGCCTCTTCAGAGTTGTTGCCCTTGACCTTTGAACCTCACAGGTGCATTTTAAGGAAAAACAGGATCCCTCCTTCAGCAGCAGCCAGGGGTAAACAGGATTCCCGAACCCCAGTCTGCCATCTGAAACAGGCTATTGGTTACATTGTGATTCGTGACAGAGAGGACCAGCGCAGCAGTACTACTGCAGGTCAGTCAGTGCTCAATGAAACTCAAGTGCCACCATTGTATAAAACAACACACAAAAAAAAATAGGACTGTTTCTACCAGTTCACAAACTACACTACTCTGATTCTAGATGACTGAACAACTGCTCTCAGCCTCGGTTTTAACTTAGTCACAGAGCTTTATGAAGAGGGGCTTACTTGGTTTCATATAGACATTTTGTACAGTAATACAATTATGGTGATGACAGTGAACTACACTATATTCTCCTAAATAAGCAATATATGTGAGGATAGAGATAGCAGCAAACGGCAGGTTTCCCCAAGCTGAGAAGATCTGCGTGGCCTGGCATTGTTTTACCCCAGGCAATTTCAATTTGACCTTTGGTATGACTGAGCCTCTTAGGGTGGGTTAACTCCATTAAAAACAAACTAAGTGTAGTTCATGGACATTCAATGACAGCAGAAGAAGCCGTTCTCTGTCTTCATCCAAAAACTGGTTTTGCAAACCGGGACTTCCACTGACGCACGTCTCCCATTGCCTTTCCTCTCATCCCGATCCGCGAGCCAGACTGAGTGAAAGCAAGGTGAACGAGAGACAGCGAAGACCGGCCATGCAGCTTCTCCCGCTTCCTCTATGCTGTTTCTTCTCCTTCCCCACAGTCCCCTGCAGGAGAGCAAGAGGACGCAGATGTCTGAACGTCACATCCCGCGCCGGTCTATCATCCAACACGAAGGGCCGCATGAACTTCTAACCTGAGAACATAAAAGTGCTTTCTGCACTCTGCCGTATTCCCCAAGACTTCTGTTAAAGCTGGATTTATCTGCAGGATGCTCGATTCGAAACCCAGAGCTACTGCATTTACATGAGCTAGTCTTTCCTAGCCCATTAACATAGTTGCAGTTTTTTTAAAAAGCAATTCTTTTTTATTTTGCAAGGTCAGACGGCAGGATTTGGCACAGTATTTGTGTGGCAGTGCACGGAGGCGAGGGGCTGGATTCTCCTGAACGGCTCTGCTGTTACAAGGCCCTCTCCTGGTTCTCCGGGAACAGACGAAGCGCCCATTCTCCAGGAGAAGACCGTACAAGAAAGGAATAATACTGAGGAGCAGCCCCAGCCTTCGTGCATGGAGACTGCCTCAGAGAGAACACATTCTTGAAGACCAACAGGCCCTCCATCTTGGAGCCCCATGTTTAAAGGAGGTTTTGGCAGATGGAGATCTTGTTTACGTGCCCCCCCCTCAATGTTTAAGTCTGTGCATTGAAAAACTTGAAGTCTGCTGAATACTGCTGGAAGAGAAAGGCCCTTATTCAGAGCTCCGGCCTGGTCAGTTCTGAAAACTGCATCACATTTGTTGCTCTAAACAGACCTTGTTGAACTGTCTTTGACGGTCTGACTTAGAACATGAAGGTTCTGCCCCGATGTGTACAATAACACGCATGCGAACACCCAGCAACCTAGGAGTTGGAGGCCGGGGAGGACTGACTGGTTTGACAGAGCACAGGTGCAAACGAGAAACTCTGATGGCGGGGAACCTATAGTGCCCCCCCAGGGATGAGACTCCAAGAGAACAGACAGTAAGGGGGTGGCGCTTTTGGCAGATCAGCAGGCAGATGAACTCACAGAAGCTCATCACCACCCCTCTCTCCCACAGACACGATGGCAGCGGTGGCTCTTTCCCAGTCTCTCCCGCCGTACAGATTGCGACGTCGGGGCCATAGGGGGGCACCGGAAGGAGAGGAGGGCTTCTGCGCCAGGGGCGTCCCGGCGAAGGTGGGACCTTCCTCTCCCCCCCCATCCCACGACGCCTCACTGCAGGCCCCCGCCCGGCTGCTGTGACCGCCGCTCCTCCAGGCTGCGGCACACCCACATGGACACCACCTCCGCGTTGCCGTCGTTGTACAGCAGGATGAAGGCGTGGCCCTGCGGACACGGAGAGAGCAGGAACAGGCTGAGAGGCCGGCGTGGAGCGAGACTGGAGAGGGCCGGCTCGCGCAGGAATCGACTGCAGCCTCGGTCGCGGCACAGCACGGTCCGTGGCACAGCGGAATGGGAATGAGGGGCCCGACCTCAAAAACAGGATGCGAACGCTGGCGATCGCTCGGCCGAGACTGCAGACAAAATGAAAGGGGCGACGCTCTTGGGGAGGAGTCTGGTCTGGACTGTCGAGGCTCCAGGGCTCTCTGGAGTTGAACGCCGAGCCTGACAAACACTCCGCCGGAGCAGGGAGGCAGCACTATCGCTCGGCCCATTTTTTATCCACCTCATCCCGGTACGCGCCGCAGGTTTCAGGCCGCCTGCGTGCAGAGGGAAAGCGCAGGCTGCCCAGAGCCCTCTCCCTTCAACCACAGGTGGGAGACGTGCTGTGGGCAGCAAGAGCCACCCCTGTAACCCGGGGCAACGTTTAAGTGAAATAATAATAAAACACAACATACACAATGACAACCGGCTATGCTTAAAATATCATTATTATAATTGATTTGCTCCGTTTTCCAGGACGATGCTGAAAGAAATGAAAGGTACTGTGATGTGAAATGGGCTCTTACCAGTCTGAGCAATGGGAGTGGGTCACACAGGCAACCTCTTCCGACCCTCATTATAATATCAGTGACCCACATAGAGCTCATGTCACTGCGTCACCTGCTGCAAACCGTAAGATTTTATAGCAATGGTCAATTTAGTACCTAGCCTTTCGGCTGGAGCCGACGCTTCTACAGTATGTCACAGCAGAGTACAGACAAGGCTCCTGTTTCAGTGCTATGCTGAGTACAGCACACGAGGTTAAGAAGTTACTCCTCATGTGTGGAAAAACAGGACAGCACACTGTACTGATGCTAGGGGAGATTCTAAATTTGTGCTGTTCTTTGCCTGCTTTAAAGATTTGATTATTTGACCTTGAGCTTCAGTTCATCCATTCCTGCATCCAATGCTGTATATTAATGCTTTGTCCTTAAAATAAAAACACTACAGCAACAGCCAGCAAGCTCACTGAAGGGCTCCTGTTTCTAGCAGCCTATTAAACCTGAGCAACCGGTAATCTGCTCAGTAGTCTGTTAATGTGGAGCAACTGGTAAAATATGACTTTCTAGCAGTCTGTGAAAAGTAGCATTAATCCAAAGAAGCAGACCTAGTATGGCTTAGTGCTAGAAAGACTAACAGAAACAGGTCCGTGCTGAGGCTATACATCAGTGCTCAAACACCAGGAAGATTTGTTGTAAATACAATTTACAAAACGTATTATTATATTATTATACACTTTATTAATTATTATACAACTTAACAACAATAATAATATTTGTATTACTATTCTCCAGGTTGTCACTGGAAAAGAAAGTTTGTTCTCAGCTGATTACCTGGCTAGAATAAAATCAGTGTTGAAGGGCAAGAACAAGATGAAAACCCGCATTATAAGCAGCAGAATGAGTTAGGCGATTTGGAGGCGATGCTGTAGCTATCCTTCCTGTGGGCCTGTTCTTATTCTGAAACCCTGTGCCGCGCGAAAGGACTCCTTCCTTTCTGTGTGCAAAGTACTGCTCACACGGCCTGCTCCCTCTCAGACCCAAACACCTCATCCCTCCAGAGGTCAGCGAGGGGTCAACGAGACAGACCGGGAGAGGCGCTCCGACAGTGAGTGGCAGCACCGCTAATTTTCTGTGTCAACTCCGAAAATTAGATAAACAATGACAAACCAGGCTTTTTAAATGAGCCTGTCACTCCTGGTTTCCTTGATAAAGAGTCTCTTCTTCCAGACGCTGACAAACCACCAAAATGTTAATAGGCTTGGGATCTGAAGGGAAAAGAGTTTTTAAGAGGAGGAAAAAGAAAACATTTTTATTATTCTCTGCTGCACTTATGCTTCTAGCTTATTTATTAAAGTTAACTTCAATAAAGAACAACAGGAAACTGGATGCTAGTGAAATGCAGCTGGTAAATAAGAGAGATCTGGAGAGCCAGGACAGAGGTGAACATCAGGACAGATGCCTGGTGCGGATACGCTGGAAACCTTATTCTCCTTGTTGGCTTATTCCCTCCTGTCTAAGCGCTTCACTCCTTTCTCAACAAAGACGACAAAAAAACAGAAAGAAGTCACACAAAAGTGTTACGCTGAAAACAAAAAGTTGTAAAAATTCATTCGAAAAAAGGGCTTGGAAAAAATGCAACACGTTAACAGCTGAGACAAATTCAGTAATTCAAAACTTAAAAGTGAGATTTTGAAACGTGTTTTCTAAAGAAAGGGATTTTTTCACAACTGTGCCATATCCAGCGTCACCTCAAGAAGTCTCTCTCAAAAGCGGAGGTCTTTGTGTTCTGCACAGCACATACTCCGTGCAAATTAAGCCCACTGGACCTCAAAGGATATGAATACACAATTAAAACCTGCGTCAATACCCAGTTTGTCCATTCTATGCATTGACAGTTGTTTTGTGAAGGAAGCTGCAATGAAATTTTAAAGAGGCAGAGTAAAAGTTATTTGTCCAGACCTGGGAACTCAGCTGAATCAGCAGTGGCTGTAAGGATGATGTCTCAGGCAGCCATCTGGCCTGACAAGCCTGAAGTATTTAAGACAGGAGAGGTTCTGAAACGTGCCCATAAAATTATGGGAATGAAGTCACACTGCCAGTCTTAACACTTAAAAGGAAATTTCAGCTTCATACCTCTAAAACAACGTGTTTTATAAATGGTATATTTCCTTGACATTTTCTCATTCTTGCACTGTTTCATGCTTCAGAGGTTTATTTGGCTAATTTTCTTAAATTAATTTGTAACCAGATCAAGATCGCTTGAGAAATTTGTTTAATGAGAGGAGGCCGTTTCGCCCACTTTGCTCATTTGTTTCTTAGTGGCGAACGGATCCGAGGTTCTGATCCAGATGTTTCCTGAAAGACACGCATTGACAACATAGCGGGACAGCTTGCTCCAGACCCCCACAACCCTTTGCGTAAAGAACTGCCTCCAGTTCTCCTGTAGCCCGATCACAGGCAGCCCCAACCCCCCAGAACAAACAGGGGACACCACGCTTCTCAGCCTTTCAGCTGGCTTGGCATGGGGAGCTTTAATAAAGTTCATCGCTTTCAGCGACTCTTCAGCAAAAGCCGGAGTTTAGAAACCCCACCCTGCAGGGGTAACGGCATGGAGAGGGAGCGGGGCTGTAGAGCCGCCCAGTCCAGTGACGGGGGTGTAACTGGGAGAGCTGCTGGCTGGCTGCACACTGAGCCTCAGCACCGGTAACTTATCGCCCCGGCTCTCTCTCATCGCCTCCTGCAAAACAAAGCCACGCACTTTCATGGATGGGGAATCTGGAAATTGTGTTTTCACTGTATTTTTGAAATGGGATCGTGTCCCCGCGGTTGACCCCTCCTGCTGAAACATTAAGTGCTCCCTTCTTGGCTCAGAGTGCACGGCGAGATTGCTTTGAACATAGAACACAAAACAACGCTCAAGAAGTGGGGGGGGGGGGGAATAAACTAGGTGCAAACTCATTTTCCTCTCGGAAACGATAAACCTCTTAAATAGATGTAATGATGGAAAGGCCCTAATAAGCAGCCCTGCCATATTAAAATGAGCAGCCTTGACACCAGGACGAAGGAGAAAGGAGCTACGTTCAGTGACACTGAATACTTACAGGAACAAAATACAAATCTTCTCCTAAAGCCAACGAAGAGGCGGTGCTATTCGTTGCCCTAGAAAATCGAGGCCAGCTGACTTGCGGGAAGGAGATTCTAAATCTGCCCGGCCCACAGTGTGTCACCGTGAGGACGAACACACCAGCTCTGGGGAAGGCAGGCTTTTCCAGCCCGTCACTCAACAGTACACAGCAGAACGCTAGATGCTGGGAGCACTGTAATCCAACAGACGGGTAAACGGCTTTTATGTTCTCTTAACTTGTGCACGCAGTTCTGGGCAGGAACAGTTCCCAAAGTCCAAAAAGGGCAGGTGGCATCAGGGTTGTGGGGGGGGGGGGCTGGGGAGTCCCACACAGCAGGGAGACAAGCCGGCAGGTGATCCTTCACTGAACACGAGGACCTGAACACCCCGGTCCTGCAATACTGCCTATGAAGGGAGAGGCAGCGGCTTCATTAATCCTTCTGCCCTCCTAATGGCCAGGCGCAGGGCTGTGACAGACGGAGGTTAATTACTCTAATATTGCGCGAGTGCCTTCCCCGGCTCCGGCCAGGGTGCAGGCAGGCACGCGGGCTCTCGCAGGGGCGCCCATCACATCAATCACCAGCAGCCCCCCGCTCCCCTCACCGAGAGGGGGCTGCAGCCGAGATTAATTACTTTAATATCAGCATTAAAGCACCCCCTGTCTCTACCCTAACCCTAAAGGTTGCCTTCGCCCTCTGTGTCTGAGTCTGATCTCCGTAATGAAAGCTGCGCGCTGAAGGATAGCTTCTCCTCACCTTAAGGAAACACACACACACACACACACACACACACACACACACACACACACACTGCGCCAAGACAGAACACGGCTCAGAGAAAGCGAGAGCCGCACTGAGCTTTGGTCAAACGGCAGAGGCACATGAGCAAGAATCACCACCAGCTTGGGGGAAGAGTAGTGTTGTGATGACCTTTCACCTGTACAAGAGCAAGCTCAGTCCCCCCTTCTAGAGCGGCAGAGCTGAGCGTGGACAGCACTGATCGCGCAGATGCTCAAACACACTAGAAGCGAGCGCCGTTAATTAATATACCTGCTGGTAAAATTAATGTATGAGTGGAGGAACTTATTAAGAGAAGAAAGAAATAAATACTCCTTAGGTCATTATCTTGCTCACGTTTACCTTTCTTTAAAGCAGCTAAAAAGAAAAACTCATTTAAAAATGTGACTGCATTAATCACTGCATTGCATCAAGTGCGGATAATCACCTGAATACTCTATTAAAATAAAACTGACAACCCAGGGGAAATTTTTTACCTTACTCTTTAATTGTTTTGAGGCTTTGATAGGCTTTTTAATCTAAGATTAATTTATGCAATTTTAAATAACTCTACTTATGATTAATAAGCTTGAAAATTAAAAGGAGTCTAAAGCAATTATAACAAGTGGCTGGTCATCACCTCATTAGGTGGCGTTGGCGTGATGCAGCTGTGGAATGCTGGGGAAGGGAGGCGGGAGGGGACAGAGCCCCAGAAATTGCAATGGAGAGAGAGGAGGCAAGAGAAAGGGTCAGTACAATAACTAGGGCTTTCCAGATTTGCATACTAATAATCTGATCCCGATGGAAGAGCTGGAACAGGCAGAGAGAGAGAGAGAAGAAGCACTACAAGGGCTGAGCTCCTCATCTCTCGACAGGGCCGGATTAAAAAAGAAAACACCGCCAGGAGATTAGACATC